GCGCCCTCCGATTGGTCGGTGAATCCGCTCTTCAAAGCGAAGTACGTCACAGGTCAACAGAAATGGCGCTCAGTATATTCGCCGCTCGTCACTTCAAATTTTTGTAACAGGTTATATTAGTTTAATACAGAGTATTGCGATACATAGTAAGTTCCCAGATAGCGGAGAAAGGTTCGTGTTGAGAATAAACCCAGTTTGGAAGTTCTAGTCTCTGAAAACGCACCAGCAAACCGGCCCGAGTGATTCACTCGGGCATTCCTCCGCACAAAAGGATAGGGAGGCTTTGTAACCCTATCCTCTTGGGTTTGGGTTACATTATTGTATCTAAGGGTCTATGTCCCCCAGGGTACTGCCGGAACGTACCCTGGGTACGGTCTGGTATACCGGAACGTACCCTGGTCCCTATTTGATATGGTTAGGGTTAGGATTAGGGTTAGGGTTGGGGTTAGGGTTAGAGTTCGGCTTAGGGAGTAGGCGTAGGCGATTCCCTAGACTCGTTAGTGGAGTAGGCGAGGTACGGTTCGGCATATTAGATAGTACCAGGGTACGTTCCGGCAGTACCCTGGGAGACATAGACCCTCTCAGCTGTAGTGGCCTCCCAAAATGTGCGGCCCAAGGATAGAGAACATGGGTCCCAATAAAACCAATGTGCCTAACCCTAACCCTAATTCTAACCCTAACCCTAACCCTAATCCTAACCCTAACCATAACCATAACCCTAACCTATTATATTGATATAATATTGTATTTATATTGATGTAAATGACATTGGTTTTATTGGGACCCATGTTCTCTATCCTTGAACCAAATGTGCTACTGCAGAAAAATGTAGGATCACACGGTTAAAACGTGTATTGCGAGAATTTTGCTCAGAAAAACTAAATATAGCTGAATATAGTCTCACCTGACAGCGAAAATATCACTGATTACACCAACATTCAAAACACCAAGATTTTATGCAGTTATAGCACAGAAAAATTGATTTGACCACATCATACCAGCAATAAATTTGTGCGTGTCCCGACTCTCAAAATCACAAATGGCGTCTTTGAACAAATGCACATAATTAAAACAAAAGGGCGTGCAATTCTGTTTGGTAAATATTATTGAGTTTTTATGTCAATAATTCAGAGCACTTTCTGTCATTGTCATTCCCGTGTTACTATCTGACTGGAAATCCACAAGCTTCTCTTATAANGTGGTGGTGGTGGTGGAAGCAGTGTGGTGGTGGTGGTGGTGGAAGCAGTGTGGTGGTGGTGGTGGTGGAAGCAGTGTGGTGGTGGTGGTGGAAGCAGTGTGGTGGTGGTCGTGGTGGAAACAGTGTGGTCGTGGTGGGGTGGGAGCTGTTCTGTGGTGTTGCTCACGTATTATTAGGGGTTAATAATGACAAACTTTCATGATTAACCCCTGGTATTATGTATGAGTGGTAGTATATACCCGGTGGGAGATACACGTGACTCCAGCTCAGCCAGTCAAATTACTTTGAGGGCGAGTGAGATGTCATCAAAAAATCAACCAATCAAAAATGTTTTTTATAAGACGTCGCAGTTCGAACTGTGCTAGTGAGCGCATCCGCGGTAAATGTAGCCTGTAATTAAATTCAACGATTGCACTTACAGATTAAATTGTGAGGAAAGGATTCTATCGCCATTTGTCCCGTGAACAGATTATCTCGCACAAGAATGATGGCAGTTTTATCTGCACACGAATGGAATTTCCATCACTCGTGTGAGATTATGAGGTTCTATCACTGTTTGTGGCCCGAAGCCAGATTATGTTGCACAGAAGCAATCGAGATTTCATCCGCACACGAGTGGAATTTCTATAAGTATAACCCATGTGAGATCCTCAGGACGAATAGTGCGTAGAACCTCAGAGTTCCGTTGTTCTGCTTGGGTTTTTCTCTCACTGCATCATCATTCGATCCCCCCCCCCCCCTCTCGCTCTTTCTTTATCGCCCTCTTTCTTCCTCTCTCTTTCTCTCTCTTTCTCAGATGTACGAGCGTGAGACAGATTTGCGCTCGCCTAAAAATATCACTCATTGATCGTAATCTCGCTCATTTCAGCAATTTGTAAGTATATAGTGCGCGTGAAGGGGCGGGGTGGGGCGTGGTGGAGTTGTGTGGGGTGGAAGGATTCGCACGCCTGCGTGATTGTGTAGTATAGAGGCGGTCGGGTCGCACAACACGAGAATTATTTTGACGGTTGCCTAACACAGTCTACGAGTGTAAATACAGCGTGTACAAATCTAGCGAAACCCCACCGAGGACCCCTTGCCAATCCCCAACCTCTTATCGACCTCCACCTTCTGATATATGTCTGAGTAGGTTTACGGCAAAGTCGTTTGCGTGTGTCCTTTATAAGGGCATCGGGTGAGATTAGAGCAGAAATTGGCTTCGGCCGCCTCAGGCGAGGGATCCGTAAAACCTCGACTGATTGATGGCTGAGCGAGTCGTAAGCATTCGTTAGCTGCTGATGAGTGTAGTGAGGAGAAACGCATGAACGCTGGGTGTGGAAAACCAGATAGAGACAAGGAAATGATCATGCGGAAGGTGGTCTGGAGCTGCTGATAGCATGTGCACTGTGTTTTTTATACACACACAAAAATAATGCAACGTAGGGTAAATACAACGTAGATTTTGCACAAATGTGTAAAAAAAACTATTGCATAAATGCTCGTCATGAAAGCATTGAAGATTATAGTCTTTTTGTGTAAAAGTGAACTAAATAATGAAAATAGGTAATTGGTTTGAGTGCAGGCTTATGAAATGCTGAAATGCATATATATATAGAGTCCATAATAGAATTTTTTTTATTATGGACTCTTGATATATATAATGCGTTTTTCGTCTATAATAATAAAATCTGTCCATTTAAAGATGAAGGAAGATGAACAGGCTTGATTAAAATAACTAATTATTCTAATGTGGCTCATAATGTAATACAAGCAGCTGCAGAAAATTTTGCAAAATGAAATATATATTAATGGTGAAATATTCACAATAATAAATTATTAGCTTTGTTGATTATAAAATTGCATTGCTCAATTCTGGTTTCCGCCCAACTTCTCTCTCTCTCGTTCATTCCCTCTATTTTCCTCCTTGCCTCCGTCTTCTCTTTATCTACTACTTTTATTGCTGCATATGTCTCTCGTTCTGTTTTTTCACGAACCCTCACATTATCTCTTGTCTGTCTTTCTCTCTCTCTCTCTCTCTCTCTCTCTCTCTCTCTCTCTCTCTCTCTCTCTCTTTCTCTCTCTCTCCCTCTCTTTTTCTCTCTCTCTCTCTCTCT